ATTATTTTGTAACACCCTGGCAATACACAGCAAAATCTATAGTCCTCATTTTAAAAAATTAGTTGTCCTCAGGTAAACTCAAACAAATAGAGAGTTTGATAACAAGAGTTTTTTGGTGGTTAAAGCTTTCATTTCTGACACAGTTCAACATATTGGAGAACGATACAATAATGTGGCTGCGGGGTTTGATCAATGTCTATATACGATGTCTTGCTATTGCAGAAAAGTGGCATGTCTTCATTAAAATTTACATCAAATGTTCACACACTCAGCTGAATCTAAAACAATATGGCACCTTACAATTTCTACACTCGACCGCAGCAAGATTAGTTTCAAAACTTGGAGTCCGCCAATAATCAACTGACGATATCAAAATTTTGACCTCTTTGTTTTGAAATTTTGGTTCGTCCTCTTCGCTCAGGAGATATTCAGTCGATGTACCAGGATTTCATAATTTCAAGAGGTGTCTTAAAATGCTGTTCATTATAGATGAAAATTCGTAAGAACTGATTGGGAACTTGCGAGAAGAGCTGTCCTTCGTCGTGCGGTAAGATCAGAAGTAAGCTCTGATTCGCGTCGAAGAAGAGAGGTGGATTGTTCAGACTTTGATGTGTTTCCCTGGAAGTAACCCTTAGCCGTCATTTCTCATCAGTACATATATCTCAACGCATACCACGAATGTAAGACACCAATGCTTCTTCAAATACGAGATGATCTGCTCTTTTAACACAATCATATTTCGAGAACATGAGGACATCTGGAACGCAAGAAAAATCCCGCAATACAGAGAAGCGAACAACACTGGATCCCAACAAGCACGATTTGCGAGGGTTGCAATACGGCTCAAGATGAGGAGGGTTCGTGGCTAGCACGCACCATCACGCCCCGGTTTCGACTCAAGATGGCAAGACGAAACAGGGGTGGCCTGAAGGAACCAGAATGGGATGCTTGAAGAAAATGGAGAAGACGACCAAGGGTGAGTGAGTGAGTGAGTACAGGAAGAAAAATGAGAAAAAAGAAAGCAGGGTGGCAACGCCAAAGTCGACGCTTGCCGGGAGGGAGGTTGGCGCGGGTATATCCGTTGCGTCGAGGCAGCGTCGGGTTTCCCGGTGTAGGAGTCAGAAGCGTCCCCCTAGTCAGGAGCAGAGGGACGCAAAAAATGGATATAAGCTAAGGACTTCAAAATGGGCTCAAGGGTAATCACATTTTTTCCAAGGACCGCAGTTAAAGGACTGTTGTTGATGGCCAGGATGAACAGCATTTAAAATTAAATTTTACATGATGAAAATAGTGAAGTAAAGCAGTTTCTGAAAAAAAATAATACTCTACTTTACTGCTGCGCACATATAAAGCATGCATCCCTCTGCTTTGCAGAATGCAATTAGATGAAAACAGGATGGGAGAAGCCATAATAAGACGAAAATAACTATCTTAAGAATTTGAGATTGAAATAACTTTATTCCGATTAAGAAAAGACTATAGCATTCAGACAAAAAATGGTACAGTATTTGAATTTATAGATGTACACAAGAAGTATATTCAGGTTTATGGAAATCATTACATTCCAAGATAAGGGCATACACACTGTTTATATACAGCATAATCAAGAAACAAACAAAACCTTTCACAGGTTGCATATAGGATTGAGGTGACTGTTCCTTCCTCAATTACATCATGGTTCACTTGTAAAAAAACATTGATCAATTTATTGCAATGATTACTGATTTCTGCAATTAAAATTTATCTTCATAAATGCTCTTTTACTTTCCAATTTTTTTTTAGGGGTGATATTGAATGTTGCTTAGAGAGGCATCAGAAATTCACTGATTGGGTGGGCTAAAAAGGGCGGGCTTCTGGAATTGTTCATGCTGCTGTGGTGGATTGAAGAGCACACTGGGGAACCTCCATACCTGGATTCAGCATATGCTTTGCATTTTTGAGAATAAATGTAAGTCCAAAGCAGCTGGGGTACTCTTTTTGTCGCATTTGTATTTTCGGTGAAATTACCTTATTATTCCCAAATATTAGGTAAGATTCTGCGCATATAAGAGCAGCAGATACAGAATCCGAGTTCAGGACTCTTGCAGTGCAGCCTAAAGTGCTCTCATGCTATGGGACGCTTTTCCCGGAATGCATTTTTTGTAATTTGATATGATGTGTTTTTTCAGGGTGATAGAATGTTGTTTTGAGAATCTTCGTCAGGGATTCACATGATTGGGCAAGCTAAAAAGAAGAGGGCGCGCAGATGTGTTCATGATGCTGTGGTTGGAGAGCCCACTGCTGGGAAACTTCCATTCTGCGGGATTCAGCATATGCTTCACATTTCTGAAAATAAATGCAAGTCCAAAGCAGCAATCTTTAATTTTTTGATTTTACCCATCAAGTATTAATCAGAGGGAAGAAACATTCTGTTCTGTTCTGTACTCAGAAGTGATTCCGCACCCCCAAAAAATTAACAGCAGTACAGTACTGTACTGTCCTGGAGAGTATGGCAAACCAGGGAGTGGATTGGATAATGATTACATTTCGGAAGTAAAGAGCATCTATCCTTTCTTAGAAGTAGACTCTGATCCCATACTCCGTCATTCATGCTAGATGTCGCTCAACAGATTCAAAGATCCTCAATTAGTCAACTACGCTGCGGCTGCTACAACAGAGCAATTCACGTAATAGTAATGGTTGAAGAAAACTTGTGTAGATGTCAGGTGTAGTCTTTGAATGGTGGTGTGCTTACAGTACTGCTCTGCCCCAGGGATTCAGGTGGATGGAGGGATGTACTGTATATGTGTTACTTATGGAGGATCACTAGGACTTACAGCAATATCTTTATCGTGATTGCTCTGCTTTCGGAAGATTCGCCCACTTCATAAATGAGCAACTTTATTGGTTGAATAAATTATTCCGCATGCTCTGCAAATAAATTTCACTTTTTCCATGAAATCTAAAATTTTTCAAATGAATTCCAGGGATATTAAAGGGAATTGTAAGTGATATAAATTGCTTGGTAGTCATGTTAGTCATCATGCACATTTTATAAATTAACTGAGTACAGTATTACTGTTCTGTTTGGCACAGAATATCATTACATCCCAGTAAATTTGGACCATTGAATTGCAGGACAATTGAATTATGGGACATTGAATTGCAAGGTATACCACCTTCATACTGATTCTGTACAAGCAAATAAGAGCTCCCACCATATTCAAATAAGTACTCATCCCAGTATCATTTCAGTTTGCAAGACTTTCCTGCAGTATTTTATGTGACAAGATATATTGGTTCAAAAAATGGGAACAAGTCAAGGTATTTTAAGTTACAATAATATATGAACCCGAACGGCCTTCGAAGCAAGAAGTGAAATTTTAAAGTTGAAGCATGTGATTTTGTATATTGAACAGGCAGGAGAGGAATAAATCACTTCCAATAACCATGATTTTTTGAAAGAAATTTTGACAAAAAGACTTTTTTAGTTCTTTTTCCATGCATAAGAGACCAATACCGTACTTCCAAAGCATAAAAATCATTTGTTTATTTGAGACAAGAAACTCCTATGAAAAGAAGAACCTATAAAAAATGAATGAAAAATGCCTCTCCAGACCAAGCAAGAGTGCCACGCCATTTTCAAATCTTTGCTCCATACAATGAAGAAGCGCTGCTCCTCATAGAAGGCCACTCCATTTTGTACATGGCTCTTTTTCAAACTGCATTTGGAAACTGCTCCTTCTAGGAAAATGGAGCAGAACTACATTCTCAAAACCTGCTGCATGCATGATGAACAAGCACCTTTCCTCACTTTGTATATAGAAGCTCCTATATAGTGCTGTTTTGAAACCCAGCAATTCCATATGGTCAATCTCCAAGTTGATTATTGTGATCAACCTGCAGGAAAAAAATTCCACGTGACAAATATAGGGAGTTTAAACTCAAGAGGTTCAACTTTGGTCATCTATCCAAGAATTGTTGTAAACTACAGCTCATTGCACCAATAGCCATTACTTGTCCAATCTTGTTATAAAAATTTCAGAAATGAATGTAAACACGACGTTTTTCACATAAATTAAAGCATCTTAAGGAGCAGCATTTTCATCTTCAGTGAGCAACCATGGTTCTTGGAGAGTTTTCAGGAGCACATAAGCTCACAACAGTTGACCAACAGCAAGTAACCAATAGAATAAATTACACAAGAAAAACACAAATGGGCCTGGATCACTATTTAAGAGCAACAAATGATTCCTTTACATCAATATTGTAACATTTGGTCTTGCTATTATTAAGTTTCAGTTTGCAAATAAAGATCTTTTTCAATAGAAACAAAAGTTTTTCCAACATCTATTTTCCAGATATCAAATGCTTTATCAAGGTCCACTATGCTGAAATAACCATGGAGAATGGACCCATTACAGAATTTGTCAGGTAACTTAGGTTTTTCATTGACAGATGAGATATGCTGCTTCATCATGAGTGCCAACATAGAACAGAGATATGCTACTCATCACATGTGCAAACATAGCGCTAACATTTATGGTTCATATCTAGTCCAGATTTGTCTTCCATACAGGACACCTCATCCACCAGTATGTGAGCATTTTCAGCAAAAGCATCTTTTGAAAGAATGACTGTACAGTATTTCACAGAGGTGTGTTGCAAGCCAGAAGAGAAACTGCATCTTTTGGAGATCATCACCATTCAGGCAAGCTTATTGTGAAGGGTTGACAGTAATTTATGGTAGTTGAAATCTCAATGTTTTCTACTACTGTAAATCTTTTTCAATACATATATCAGACTAAGATTTTTTTCTTGAAACATCTCCAACAGGAAGGTACACCAAGACCAACTTTTTTCATCTTTGATTCAAGAGATTGAATTTTTCTCCAAGTTTTCATGTAGATAATCACCTCAGAATGATCCAATGTAGAAGAAAAAAATGGTTGGGACTAGGTTTCCAAATCTGCACCTAACTTCCCATCAAAGTACTGTATGTAGATAAAAATCATACACAGTATCACAGTTCTACAATACCATAATTTTGCATTTTATTGCACATGGTCATTGATTGGAAGCCCTTGAGTTCAACAAAAAACTGGAATTTTCCAGAGATCCAAAACTTATACACAACAAGTAAAATGGGCTAAACATCTTTCCAGATGAGAAAATCAATCACCTAATAAACTGAACTGCACAATTGTTTTCAGTGCATGATACATCACAGTTCAAAATAAAACATCAACCAAAAATCACAAACTATATCGGAAGACATGACATGTAGAGGATACAGTATTCAGAGATTATGTAGAATTACACAAGATGTAGCCCTCCAAATGTGAATGACTTCAGTTGTATGTATTCATCTATGCCATACTTGGAACCCTCGCTTCCAATTCCAGATTGTTTAATCCCACCGAACGCATTTTCGCATGCTGATAGGACAGCTTCGTTGGCCCCCACCATCCCAACTTCCAAGTTGAGAGCAACTCTCCAAATCTGTGAAACATCACGGGAGTAAAAGTAACCCGCCAGGCCACGTTCGCAATCATTAGCCTTTTGTAAAACTTCCTCTTCAGTGCCAAATTTGCAGATGGCAACAAGCGGGCCAAACTGTTCTTCAACAAAGCAGCGCATACCAGGATTCACATCAGTGATTATTGTGGGGGCAAAGAAGAGTGGACCTACAGAAGGCAGAGGAGTTCCACCATGTACCACTTTTGCACCTTCACCTTTTGCAGACTGAACCAGCTTTAAAAATCTATCAAATTGGTTACGATTCACAAGCGGTCCTTGGTTATTTTCCTGCTGCAGACCATCCCCAACACGGAGTTCTTGCTTCATAGCTTGCTGTAACTTAGCAACAAAAGCATCATGTACACTGGAATGCACAAATATTCGGTTGGAGCAAACACAAGTCTGTCCAGTATTCCTGAACTTAGATGCCATCAGGCCTTTCACTGCAAGATCCAAATCGGCTGATTCAAACACAATGAATGGAGCATTGCCACCAAGTTCCAACGAAATCTTCTTGATGTTTTTGGCACACTGTGAGTAGAGGATCCTTCCAACTTCTGTTGAGCCAGTAAACGAAAGTTTCCTCACATTATCTTCTTCGCAAAGTACCTTCCCAACTGCCGGAGTATTTGATCTTGATGCAGTGACAACATTCAAAGCTCCTGGTGGAACACCTGAAACAGAAACAAAAGAATTCTTGAAATTTCAACTTCTTCATGCCAAAAACATTCTTACCAGCTTCCGCAGCCAATTCAGCAAGAGCAAGCGCAGTCAACGGGGTATCTTCAGCTGGCTTAACAACACAGGTACAACCAGCAGCAAACGCTGCACCAATTTTTCGTGTGATCATGGCAGCAGGAAAATTCCACGGAGTGATGATAGCAGCAACACCAACTGGCTGCTTAAAAATGAATATCTGGCGATCATTTCTGGGTGATGGTATAATATCACCGTAGCAACGACGTGCTTCACCAGCGAACCAGTCCAGAAAAGAGGAAGCATACGTGATTTCGGTTACAGATTCCTGAAGTGGCTTTCCATTTTCTTTGGTCAGCAAAGTTGCTAGTTCGGTCTTATTCTTCAGAATAGCAGTGTTCCAAGAAAGTAAGATATCGCTACGCTCCTTTGCGGTTGTATTTTTCCATTTCTGAAATGCTCGATGTGATGAATCAACTGCTGCTTTTGTATCCTCCGAATCCATATCTGGGATCTCCACAAGAAGAGATTCATCAACAGGATTCTGAACTGGGAACGTTTTCCCTGATGCTGCAGGAACCCATTTGCCATTCACAAAAGCTTTATCTGGCAACTGCGAGAAGAATCGTACAGAAGGTACGCGACCCAGAAAATAAAGGCGAGGTAGTGCCATCACAGAATCCTGCGAAGTGCGTTTAGTCTCAGATCAGGCTAGGCTAGGATATAAGGCTATACAACATATGGGGGGGGGGGGGGTACCTAACTGGCCCCCAACTTCACTCACATCATGAAAATTGTCCATGGTACAGTACTCCAAATAATGCTGTATTCAGTTAGATAATGCATCAGTCTTGCTCTTCGACAAATACAGTACATTACTTCAATGAAACACCATGTCTCCATTGTGACAGCCAAGTTAATTCTCAATTTTGTGGACTAGCATCTTTTGATTGCACTAGACAACAGTCCAAACGTTCAGCATGCAAATGGGCATCATAGTTCACCATTCATGCCAGCCTGTAACCAAACTTCACGCGCCCAACTCACTGAAACTTGTCTGGGCTTAGACTCTCAAGGCATACTGTGCGCCTTTACTGCAGTTTCCTGATTCCTGACACAACGTTCGCGGTGAAAAAAAATCGTGGAAACTTGAACAGAATGACATCAACGATGTTCCGTCACAGTAATTTCAGCCGCAACACTGAAGACAATGTGAACCGCAACACACATTCGAACCCTGACGCCGCTTTCCAGTACAACTTGCACTCAGAGCCACTCCTCATAGGGCTATCATGTCTTCCACGCCACCCATGGGAGCGCTAGTCTCTCCGCGCCATCTGCGGCTTTCACTGACCAGACACTTCAACTGCAATGATTTGGTGGAGTAAAATTAGTGAGACTCCTAGGATATGGTATATTTGTAAAATTACTACTTTTCCTTTATTGATGCTTCGAATGCAATTGGGTATTGCACTCATTTTGGTTAAATGCCTTGTTTTGTGCATGTAAATGCATGAAAAACTTCCTCTAGCACACAGCATGCAGATTCATGGCTATGTTTGGAAGTGATTCTCACCAGCAAATAAAGGAACAAAAAATTTCTCTCAGATATACAGTATGTTCATCTTTAGATAATTAGAATTTTAGTATATAAGGACAACTTTATATTAGGGTATGATGAGAAGCCGTCAGCAGGGATTGCCTGCATACTCATTATTAGCCTTTGTACAGTAAATTTTCCCGGGGTTTAGCAAAAAATATCCAGGACCATGCAGTGAGGCGGGTCCAGCACAGACCACGGGCAGTTAGGGAACACTCTGATTCAGATTATAATTTCCAGGAAATTCCTGTTATGATTACCCCAGGGAAGTCCCTTCAGTATAGTACACAAGAACTGGAGAGCACCCAGAAATTATTGGAAACAATGCTGTATTTATGGAGGAATTGTGCAGCTTAAAAAATGAAATGGAGGCAATGGAGAGGATTCATATAACCAATTTTTAATAGAATATTATTCATTCTACCAGCCAATCTTTCATTCTTGTATGGTGCACTGCACTGCTGTATCTTGGGGAGCACCACATCAGTCCCTGTATTCCAACTTAATTCATTTCTGCATTCTTCACATATACTTTCCATCTATTCTTTTGGGAGTCTTCCCTGTTCTCACCCTCATCCTCACTCTGAGCAGGGGTGCTCTCCCCATGCATGCCTAGCAGCCGTTTTCAAGGCCATCAGTTTGGTTGCTGTGCTGTATTCCATTCCAGCTCCCCGATTTTCTCTTTCTCTTGTTCCCTCTGCCTGAAGTCATGGCTCACGTTCAGGCCTCACAGCCAGAGACAGGGACACTGGATGACTGCGCAGGAAGGGAGGGGAGGGGCGTTCAAGGGCAACGCGAGAGGACGTGCATTAGTGGAGCAGTGCACATCCTGGGAGTGCTGAAGATGGGCGGTGGGATTTTCTGCCCGGGCTTTTCCAGGATGAACAGTATAGTACTCGTGGTATCCACGTGATTCCTGGAAACTTACTTCCGCCGGGATTTTTAAAGCCATTTACTTCCCACAGAAAAAGAAATACCATTCTCGGAAAAGTCATTCTTACATTGAACCTCTCCAGGGTGGACAGCACAAAATATGTGCACAACTTCTTATATGGTGAGTTAAACAGAGAATGTTATGTAAAATGTTCTTTAATACAGTATGTATTGTTCAATTACATTCATTACTGCATTTTTTCGGGATTTAGTTCCATACACAATCAAATCAGATATTCCTTTACGCACGTTAGTAGATGAACTGTTTTTCACATCCTAACCCTAAGGCCATGGCCCATGGGGATCTTCACTCCGCTGATTTGGCATGGACCCGTGCATCACTGCATGCACATAGGCCTGAAGTGCGTGAGAGGAGGGGAAGGGAGGGTAGGGGAGCAAACCGCCAGTAAAGGGGGAGAGATGAATGGCTATAGGGCCGTTCAGGAGTCGGTTCCAGTTTGGATGGGAAATTTGGTTGAGGATCCCCATGTGCATATAGTGACTTGAAGTTTGGCATGGACTCTGGCGTGCAGTTAATGAAGCTGGAAATTATTCAGAGCAGGGCAGGGCATTGAGCAGTGAAAAAAATGACCAGTAGAAAGAACGGTATACTGTACAATAATGACTGTGCTATAACTGTATGTGCAGGTTGTTTGCTGCACTAAGGCGCCTAGGGAGGGGGGGGGGGGCACAAAATGGGACTTACACCATTGCATTTTTGCACCTTGGTTGGTGAACATGTGGACAAAAAATCCGCAGTTCCTGAGTGCAGCGCGTGCAGTTGGGTGCCGTTTGAAACTCAAAGTCCTCAGACAGCACTCCCCACCTGAAATAACTTAAGCCATATCAGTTCATGCAAGACATGAACTGGAAATTTTCTGGGGTGGTGTTGATGTGTTGATCACTGCAAGATGTTGCCACGTGGGCAAAGGAAACCTCTGGGGCATGACCTGGTCACCTGACAACAACATGCACATGGCAGAAATCCCTCTGCATGGTCATTTTGTGGCAATGCAGCACTGGTGACAATACTATGATTTAGAGAGGAAAAGAAAAGGCCTGGGAGGAAAACTTCACTTGAAGGTTTCACCTGCCAGAGGAATGACTGTGGATTTCCTGTGCTCTACCCTGGATGTTTGTGTGACTGTTCAAAGCATTTACTGTTGGCTGATTACTGTGAGGCTCTTGTGAAGATTTGTATCACTGCATCTGTGTCTCCACTCTCCTGTTCTTTGCTGCAATAAACTAGCATTCTAATGGGTCTCCAATATGGAGATCACAGCCACATAATGGCTGACTGCCTGAGTTTCATGGGCCAGTATCCTCATACATCCTTTGTTGTTTTCTGGTCTGACAGGTGGCGGCCAACTTAATGGGTGACAGAATGGAAGATACAAAAATTTGCAATGCTCAAGTCCTGTTTTGAGTCCCCCCCAACCTCATGGTTGCCTTTGTGCATTCAGAGGAACCCATCTTAAGGCTTGCTGTACAGTACAGTATATCCAAACCCAGAGTGACATATAACATCTTTCTTCCTAATTTGTTAATTTTTGAAATTAGAGCAAACAACCAGGAAAATTTTTATGTGTCAAAAATGAATGCAATTGAAATGCTCCAACTGTTCAGTTAATTAATATTAATACAGTCAAACCCTGCTAAAATACCCTCATTTATTCAATAAGATTATTTGGGATATGAAAGAGTAAACAGTTTCTTTTTGCAAATGTCACATTACAAATATAAGTTATACATAACAACGTTTTATAATGATGCATCATTAAAACAATAGAGATACATCCAACTTCCATGCTGAAGTAATTTTGATCAAACAGAGCTTTCCTAAAGTTATCAATGCAAGGCAAATTTATTAGAAAGCACAATACAGTATTATTGGATTCTTTAACAAATATGTCCAGTCACAGGAAAATAAACTGTATAAAATAATGTTTCTTACTGGAGAAATAATCAATGGACTTTTTTTATTTATTTACGCATACTTGATATTCAATTGTCAGCAAAAAATATTTATTCAGCTCCATTGTAAAAGTGAAATGTGCAAAAGAAAGCAGCTATATACATATTCACCCTTGCCAGATTTTTCTTGACTTAGGCCTTGGCAACCTGGGCACATTTCAGCAACCATTTGTCAAGCTGAAATGCACCACCCAAAAAAAAATCATAAATTTGCTGCAGGATGGCCAGAAACCCTCTGCTGTCCAAGGGTCAATGAAGCACCTTGAGAAAACTGGTTCTCACGTATAAATTTATTCAATGGCAGTACCCCAAGTTACAGACTAAAGGAGCAGAAACAAATTGGAAACTGAAGATGCATGCTGTAATCTGCACAATAAATAGTTTGATCTACTTGCATTGGAAGACATAATAATCAAATTTGATCAGGCATACTGCATTGCAGATTTTAATGCATATTTCGACTGAATAGACAAAAGACTCCATTTCTTCTTAAATTTTTAATGGAGCTACATGAAATACCAGCAACAGCTAGCATACTACGTAAGCCATTTCTTCTTAAATTTTTAATGGAGCTACATGAAATACCAGCAACAGCTAGCATACTACGTAAGAGTTTCAGAGAATTTTAATACAGTAGTTCACCTGCATTTGTGTTCAAAGCTTCAAACCCACCTTGATTGGGACCTGATCACCTGACACATTTATGCAAACATTATTTATCTCAGATGAATGAAAATTAACACAGAGGATAACATACCTAAATTAAGAAGTGTTTAATTTACCACATGAGTGCCAAAAATTGAAAATTGGATCAGTGTGGTTTAAGAACTCATAGAAGACAATTGATGCTGGTGGACATGAACCCCAATTTGTAGTCCAAAAGTCTTTTTGTTGAAGCTGGATTTTTCTTGAATTGAGAAAAATTATTAACCTAAAAAATAAAGTGCAATGCAATTTGAAACAAAAATTGGCTCATCTTGAAATGTACCATGCATAAAAAAAAGGGAAAACCACCATGAGACAATCTTTACAGCACAATTAAATATTGTTAGAAGAAATTCCAAGAGATATAAAATATTTTTTTAACGATGAGAACACGCAGTCATTATGTAAGATCTTGGTGTTTTTATAAACTCATTTATATATCCTATATTTTAGAAAGTTCTATGAACTTCTTCCATTAATTTACATCATGATGCATCAAGTACAGCACAATATATTCATTTCTTTTGTAAGGGGCGCCAAATTTGTTCTTGCACAAAGGTGCCTTTCATACCTGTACATTACTTGGGCCGGCCCTTCTGCTTGATTTCAATGCTCCTTGTGACATAATCCCCAGTATTATATTAAGGAGGCTGTCCTATTTCGGAGTACCCCGCAAGTGTCAATGCTGGATCGACGCAGGGGCAGTGATAAACACACTACGTAACTCTGAAATGCTTCGCCTGAATAAGGACAACCTGGAGAGACGCAGACAGGGACGGAAGAGACAGGACCAGTGGCTCTCTCCTTATCATAGATAGGCCTGGATAGAGGGACACGGAGGGAGGGAGTGCGGAAGCAAGTGGCGGGCGGATCCTGGAGCTGTGCCTAAAAATAGTCCAAAACGAGCTGCAGCCTGTAGCCACGGGTCGGGGGAAGGGAGCAGAGCATCCTGACTTCCCCCGCATTACTCGCCTTTTCATTGACGGCTGACGTGATCCTTCAAGAATTTATGGTGTGTGAACAGGGATAGTGAGGAACATTTCAGGTGTGGTGTTGAAGGAGGGAGCTTCTTTCCGTGTTCATCGTGGTTTGCGGATTTCTCAGGAGAATGTTCCAGGGATTAATCCCCTGAAAATGTGAAGTTCTCCTATAATGAAAGCGGTTTTTTTTATTGAACATAAGCTGAAAGCAGCAATCGCATTTAGTGAAGATCGATCATCCACTAATGGATTCCGTGTCTAATATGTGCTGTAAAGAATGTATATACAGTACATTATCTATAGCCGCAGGGTGTTTAACCTTATTATTGCGTGTATAGGTTTTTCTTGGATGGTCATTGAGTGGAACGCTGATTCACCCGATTCAGGATGTCCCGGCTAATCATGTCCTTCCAGAACGTTTTGCATTTGCTCCAATAATCCTAGGAAGAGGAAATATCGAAGTTCTTTTGGATGATATACAGTAAAAGCATACACGAAGAAAGTGCATAGTTCCTGATAAAGGAAGAGGTAGGGCTTGTCTGAAGTCTTGAAGCATCTTTGTTCGTAATTTACACAGATCCGAAGGTCAACATGAGAAGCTCCACCATGACACTTATGTTGGAGAAAAGCTGGGTGACTCACTGAGTCCCAGAAAAGTTGTCGCATCCAAAGCAAAGTTATCCTAGCGATGTTGACGACAATTTTGAAACATATCACACTTCGATTTTACAACCTGACCTGACCAAAAGGATTCACTTTCCATGGAGTTGATTAGTGAAAGGGTATGATGATTATGACGATCAACCCTATAACTCAAATAGTGTACGTTTTATCACATACCCTGAGTGAGAAGTTATCTTACGTCTCCCAACTGAGAAGTACGGATTGAAGAGCATATTAGATCTGTTTTCCGAATGGAACATATCTGGATGCGTTCTATCTTGATGACGGCGATACAGCTTCACACTGGACGGAGGCTCGTGACCCAATTTCAAGCTTCCCGATGCTGGAAACTGGGTCACGGATGCCTGCGGAGAGAGTTTGCGCTGTGGAAACTGCGACCTTCGATGGCAGTGACCCAGTAAGCAGCGAGCAGAATTCGCAGTTGCTGTGCAAAAGTTGCGGGAACGTTGATCTCCCTCCACTGAGCATTCCCTCTCCCGCGTTTCTGCCAAAATACTTGGCATTCTGTGTGTGGCCAGGAAATGCATTTCTTCAGCCAAGTGCGCTGATATCTATTTTCTTAACTGTGACCCAATTGAATAGTGCCTTAAATACTGGCATGGTTCCCTAGCATGTTGTTCCAGAAGATTTGTGGTGGGAATGAAGGTTCCGCATGTTTTCCTCCTACAACCCTGCTGCGATGAAAGAAAAAGCAAGTACAGTACAGTACGACAGCTGTCTCCAAAAACATCTCACTAGTCTGAAGATCAAGTTCGTGACTCTTGTATTTTCTGAATTTTCCACACACAAAAAAAACCAACAGTACAGTAAAATGAATTTTATGCGAAAATTAGGTACTGTACAATTGTTTGTACATCTTCAACGGAAAAATTGTTGTGTGCGTCGCAGTGCGGAAGGAGTATATTGAATTAGCATGATCCATGCAAGCTTATCAATTTATTCCAAAAGTGCTGTGTGCGCATTCGAACGGTGTAATAATCTTTTGGGTCATACCGTTTACAATATTCAAAGTTTCGTTCGTCGTATCGCGCTCATTTCTGTAGAGTAGTTGATGTAGTTCCATTTAGTCACTGTGCGTCTGTGATTTCCGAGTAGGGTCAACGGTTTGCGTCGGGCACCCCAATGCTTAACTTTACCCACTGCAAGTGTAAGTGTTTTCATGCTGTCTCAAAGCGAATAGCTGAGATTCCGTTAAAATTACACGTGACTTGGAGTAGGTCTTCTTGAAACTAATTTAGTTTTCAACTGTCGGTCTTCTCAGATAAACTTTCTTGTGTTCGTGCTGGTCATTGGTTTCATTCCATTCTTTGAATGACCTGAATGTGAAACTACGAATTATTGAATGTCTACGTTTGACGCATCCGTGACCCGCTTTGTCCTGTGATTACGCTGCGTCAAATTTGCCTTGATGAGTCATATTTTAATTGCTGTGAAATTGTTTTTCACACAGCGTCGTACCGCGCTTTTTCTTGTAGAAGTTCTAGTCATAATGTCTGTGATAGTTGAGTTGAGCCAACGGTTTGCTTCGGGCAGCCGAAGGCTTAGCTTCAGCCAGTGTGCCAGCGCCTTTCTCAGCTGCTCTTCTGACTCTTCTGCTCTGTCGCACTCATCGAAACGTCATCAGGGAACTGCAGTACGTCGAGAACCCTTCGCTCCCCTGCAAAACAAAACGCCGCAATGGATGTCGGCCGACGAAGCCGTGAAGAAGCTGCTGAAAACAGGTGCTGTACTCCATGAAATATCTTGAAAAGAGCGAGAAACAACTTCCGCGCAGTCAGTGTGCAACAATACAGTATTGCAATGTGTTGGGTTTCTTGAGTCACGAAACGGTGTAAGTTCACGAGGCTTTCGATTCCGCAGGGGACAAAGTATTCGTTCACGGAGCGGCCATGACCCCGCTAACGCTGGTGGAAGCCATGACGGAACACGGGAAGAAGGCAGGCCTGAAAAAAGTGGAAGTTTGCCACATCCACACGGAAGGACCAGCGCTGTACACGAGGCCCGACTGTCAAGGTTTTATTTTTTATTTTTCCTACCACTGTACTTCCTGCGTCTGTTTCGATTTCCGATGCCGTACACAATGTATAATGCTTCAAATTTATCATCCGAATTATATTTTCCATAGTATACACTTTCCATATTTTAAATTTGCCATGTTTCACATTTTTATTAATTTTATACTTTCCATATTTCAAATAATTTCATCATTTTACATTCTTGTTATTTTACATTTTTATTGTACAGTAAAATAAAATTTCGCTACGATCAAGGAATTGTGACCAGTGAAATATCCTCGTTTTGAAGAAAAATTCGTTCGTTAAAAGTGACCCATTTAACATTGTGGCTATGGGGCAGAACCTATTTAGCGACTTTGTATTAAATGATTATTTGTTGCAACGAGATTTGTTGTGATGAGATTCTAATTTCAACTGTGTTGCATTTTATCGATTATTTTACACTTCGATTATGTAAAATTGCTAATACAGCACGTACTTCATATTCTTAAAGCTGTAAAATCTTTTTGCAACGAACTTTTGGGGACTTCAGAGAAAGTTTGGTGTACCGTAATTTGCTGTAACAAGATTTTAAAATTAGTGACTGGAAAAAAATTTCATATCGAACCTGCGTTTAATCGATCAGATCTTATTTTCTGGCATTCCCGGATTTTTATTATTGTTTGATAAACCGATTTATCTTATGAAATAAATCATCCTTGATCTTGCATTCCATCAATTAAAGCAATCCTTCATTCTGGGAATATGCTGTGTGATGGAACCACTTAAAAGCTGTTTGATGATGGCTTTCATTCATGGTACAAAATCTGTTAATTTAGCTCCTTGTCAATTCGAGAGAAAAATGGACATTTTTCAGCGGAAATTTGGCCTCTCGTCAACAATCATACTGTCATGCGTTTTCAACGTATGAAATCGGACATGCATTTCCGGTCATCAGGTGCACCGCGAAATTATCCAAAATCCTTTTCACACTGTAGATATAAAGGTCCGAATTTTTATGAATTATCGTAACGGACTGCGATTTCGGTGTTCAAGTATAACTCAGCCTTTATAAATGTTTCTTTTTTTTTATTCTAAGTTTTATGTTGTATATTGCGCTTTATCCCATTTTTTTATTCGAGATTGTTTTCTTTGCAGGAATTTTTAGAAGCAACTCGTTTTTCATTGGAGCCAACTGCAGAGAAACCGTGAATGCAGGGAGAGGCGATTTTGTGCCAATTTTCCTATCTGAAATTCCTCTGCTGTTCAGTCAAAATATCATCAAGCTGGATGTCGCTTTGGTTCAGGTAAATCCGTCTGCGAAAGTGCAACGAAAACAAAAAGAGGTTTTCGAAAATTGTGCCAGGTTTCGTGCTCATCTCTTCTGTCTCGTTTTTACGCTTTGTTTAATGCCCTAGTTTCTCGAAAATGTCCCAGCATGATGTTTTTTTTTTGTGGAAGATAACTCAGTTTTTCAAACGATGATGAAAGAAATCTGAGAAATTAGACAGATCTGATGTGAAAACGTTCTTCAGTCATTAATTTTTAAAATTCAGTACAAACAACTTTCTCTGAAGTCCCGAAAAGTTTGTTGTAATGATATTTTACTTTACAGTACTGTGTTTTACGTTCGGAGTTCGTTGCCCTGGCGAACCCGGAAATTTCTTTGCGTTATCTCATCGTCCTCGTCCTGAAGCCCCTCTTCTTCCCCGCGCGTGAACAACCGATGAGCCGTACCCGTCGTATATGGGGTAATTTATCACCCAGGCGGGTTTTCCTGCCTGTGCTCCTAAATTTAAACACGCCGGTGAAGTTTGAACAACCCTGTTCCACAGCGGTGGGAGGGGGTGCAAAGCTGGTTCGAATGAGTTCACTGACTTCGTTTCTTGAATTTCGGTTGTGGGGATTCCGAAGGATTTCAAAGACGACGATATTTTGGGGTGCAATGCACTTTCAACGAACGGGGGAGTTTTTTCTTTTCTTGGGAGCCGAGGACGAAGCGATAAATTTCAGTTCATGCACCTTTTCGAAAGCATGGTTACAGTGAATCCCCACAGAACGAAACTAATCCATTCATGGGTGTGTTTCGCATCATGCGAAACGCGACTTCCCTTGAGATTGCATGTTAAATTATTTAATTCATTCCAGACTCGAACGGAAAAGCCATTCTGAACCATTAAATCTTTTTTTTTTGGTGCCTAAAACTGTGAATTGAAATTTATGAGTACAGCATGTTATTTGAGTAGTCATGATGAATTTTTACTAACACCCTTATTAATTTCCAAAATTTTAAAGACAGGAACCGACAAAAGTAAACCCTTCTTTCGTCCTTATGCTCCTCAATATAAAAACTTTTAAGTTTTAGTCGAAAATTTGTTGGCAGTTGACCATTTTTTATAGCCGAAAAATATCTCTACGTGAGTCATCCCCCATTAATAAAAATTTTTTATGCGAATTATTCATTGCTTGGGTCTTTCGTCGTGTAAGGACTCACTGTACGGGATTTACGTGATTCCTGGTGTACAATGACGTAAATACTGTACTGCCGTACCATTTTTTTTAAAGATTGTTTTACCCGTTTCTATTTGGTGCATTAGGTGACTCCTCCGGACGAGCATGGATTTTGCAGTCTTGGAAGCAGTGTGGATTGCGTTCGAGCAGCTTTGCAAAATGCTAAATTCGTCATAGGTTAGTGCGCTTCAGATATACTGTACTGTAGAAATAATCCAAAGGTGCGGTATTTTTTCTGGCTGTCCGCAGCGTCGAGTATGTCATCGATTTTTTTTTAATAACGATTATGAACAGTCATTGGCCTTACGCAAATGAGTCTACGTGAAATTAACGTCGAATTGACAATTCCGTAGGTCAGGTCAACAAACACGTTCCAAGAACGTTCGGGGATGGCATCATTCACGTTTCCCACTTTGATGCCCTGGTGGAAAGCCACCGAGATCTGCCTGAACATGCCCCGAAAAAGAGATCCGCTGTTGAAGATAAGATCGGGGAACTCATTGCTCATGAGTTGGTCGAAGACGGGGCCACACTGCAAATGGGTATGCAAAGTTTGAAGTACAGTATGAAGCAGTGTTGCCGAAATTTCTCAAGCATAAGAAATTTGTCAAAACAATCAATGAAGGATGTTACAGCATCTTTATCTGAAATTTTTGCAAGACAATTGCAGTTAAAATTATGTCATGAAAAATAAAAGTTGGCTTTTCTCCTAATAACGCTTCTCCAAGCCAAGCTTTTTAATATTTTGAAGACATTTCCACTATTGCTCCTTCTTATTGATTCTCAACTTAATTTTTGCTTGTTTAAGAATTAAGCAGAAAATATTTCAATACCTGCCATAAAGTATTTCAGGCAAAACTTTCTTGAGTGTGCACAATTTTTTCAAGCATTTGCCAGTCTCCAGAACATTTTTTTGAAAACTTGCCCGTCTTGAAAATATATTGATGGAAATTTTCCGGTCCGCATGCACCAAGAGGTTGAGGAACACTTGTATGAAGCACATAAAATAACTGTGGGGAAGAAAACCACACAAAATCTGATCTTTTGGCTTAAAAAAAAGCTGTGATGTGCACATATGATGGAAACAATCTGAAAAACAAAGCGCAAATTACTCCATTTTGGATTACGAATTACAGTATATTGAATTAATAATAAGATGTTACTCTTTTTTTTATAAAAAGCTCAAAACTGCACCCAGAGTTAAATACAAATGTTTAAAATGAAATGTTTCCATTCGCCCAGGAATTGCTGCTAAACGTGATGCCTATCTTGACCTGTCCGATGTCAAGGCACATTTTTTGTGTTTCCAGTGTACCTATAAGTCGCAACGACCATATGTTGGGGCATGTGCATGACGTGGCAACACTGTACAGTAAAATCTTCTTTCAACAAAGCCATAATTGGGACCTGTAACATAGATTTGTCGTAAAGAAAAGTTCGTTGTGAAGTAATTCATTTTACACAGCGGTTATTGGACAGGGACCTTAAAATTTCGGCATTGTAAGCATTCATTTTTTATTATCACAGATTCGTTGTAACGAGTCTATTTATAGTCACAGAGACGTCTATATTTAATCTTGGGTAAACTTTTAGGAAATTACAGTGATCATCCCCATTTTACATCATTCTTATCAAGTTGGAACAAAACTGGAATATGTTATTACAAATTGTTGTCATTGAAATTATGCTTGGAAGATTTTGAAGACATTTTCTATCGATTTAAGCTTCATCTCGATTCTGATTTATGCATCGAAATCGCTTGAAATATTCGCAGGAATCGGCAGTATACCAGATGCGGTGCTTGCGTCTTTGTTGAACCACAAAGATCTTGGAGTGCACTCGGAAATGTTCAGTGATGGAATCATTCCGCTTGTGGAAAACGGGAACATCACCAACAGCCTGAAGGCATTGCAGCCCGGAAAAATCGTTGGAGCATTCGCTGTAGGAACGAGGAAACTATTCGACTTCATGCATAACAATCCGTTTGTCGGTTAGTCAATTAACCACAGTCTGCATTGCTACAGTATTATTCCTCTCGAGTACTGAACGAGAATTCAGAAAAGTATTCATTTTTGCTCTAATATATGAGACACCATGATCGGTTTTGGAGAACGAGTTCAATTTTCAGCGCTGTCCTGTAACTTTGAAGAATTAATCCAAAATAAAGTTGAGCCTCGATAACTTGAAGCTCCTTGAGTCGACAACCTCCCAATAACTCAAATGCTTTCCCCTCAACTCTGATTTCCTTGAGGACTTTCGGCTTTTATTTTATTGGCGCAGGAAAAAGAAAAGCATAGACATGCAACGATTGTTTTTGGAAGGAAGAGAAAGACTAATTGGGCAAATGAACCCTTGCCTTCAAATTTGGCATCCGGTCAACTAATTTAAAAAGCAATTTACGAGCCAAAACTTCACCGTTTGCAATTTCCTGCAGTTCTTCTTTCTTCCCTCTACAAAAATGCTTGGGTCCCAAATTTGTAAACCCCCCGTTATTCTAATTTTTCGCTGGTCCCTTCAAGTTCGACTTCTTGACGAGGTCATCCAACTGTGATCTAAAACCCACTGTGGCACTGTCATTCGTTTCATGTATGGTTCTGTATACCGGGAACTTCACTGAACAGAATTTAGCGTAGCAAGCGCAATTTTTTTCATGACGATGTTGTCCGTAATCGCAATTAATACTGTAATTTCGATGGTAAATTTGCGAATGCGAGAAAAAGTTTGAGGTTTATTACAATACTTGAACTACGCGTCTCAGAGAAAAAATTATGAGGCGCTTTCTCTCATGTGCGCTTATAGAATTTTCTTATTTCTAAATTTAGTTATGATCATGACTTATACTTATCCTCAGTGAAATGATAGATGTATTCAGTGAATTTGATATGATCACTTGATCGAATGCACATTTTGGATTACCCAACCCCACTAATCAGCTTTTTTCAAAAATGTAGGGCACTATATGTGGATGCATAGACGCATCTTGAGCTCCTTTCGTCAGAATTGAAAATGAAAAATAGAACGCGAGTGTCTCAAGATTGATTGAATGCCAGTGAAGTGAAGCATTTTTTTCTTCTTTTTCTCTCTCTATCTCCGCTAAATGATAGTAATGGCGGATGTGACGTACACGAATCGGACGCATTTGATCGCGATGAACCCGAAGGTGACTGCGATCAACTCGTGCATCGAAGTGGACCTCACTGGACAAGTTGTTGCTGATTCTATCGGCACCCGGATGTTTTCGGGTGTTGGAGGTCAGGTGGACTTTTTGCGAGGAGCTGCCCTGAGTACGGATGGACGCGGGAAACCAATCCTCGCCTTGGCCTCCAGCACCAACAAAGGGGAATCGAAGATCGTTCCCCTGTTGAAGCCAGGTACAGAACAGTCCTGTATTCGAAGTAATGAACTCACGTGAGCAAGAGGAAGAAAGTCGTTGTGCATAAAAACATGTTTTAAAAAGAATGTAAAGTTTCTCATTAAAATTTTGAAATGCACTACTGTCGTCTTTTGATCAACCTTGCGTGGGAATTTTTTATATTCTTCGCTGAATGGCTGGAAATTTGCTGATTTAGTTTGGGCATGGACCAATTTTTTCTCAGAAAATTGAAGATATTCTTCGTTCGTTTTTAAATGCTTTATTTTTTCGAGAAATCACTCCATAAAATTCAAATACACTTGCATTTTTGGTTTAGTTCGCTGACTTTATTGAATTTACTTGAGTAAGACATGCATCTGATTTTTTCCGCCTAAAATTTTGGCAAAAATTTATCCCCAAGTAAGATGTGAACCCCATTTTTAGAGACTGAAGATTGCAATGCTGTATTTTAAAAATAAAAGACATTTGAATTTAAATTTGGCCTTGAATTGTATTCAAATTTAAAGTTAATTTTCCATTTTAGCGATTGTTTCTTGAAATTCGTGGAAAATTTTGTGATGGAAACAAGCATAACATGCACCAAAGCTTTGAAATATTTTTAAAATGCTATACCCATTAATCATGATCAACGCCCAGTTTCTTTCGATTTTAAAAACTGAAAATGGCAATATTGTATTTTGAGTAAAATTTATCGGTATTTAAATTTTTAACTTGAATTTTAGTAAAATTGAAAGTTAATCTTCAGTTATGTTCTTTCTTGAATTTTTTTCGACATTGGTGGTGGAACCAAGTATTCAAGCTTAAAATACTGTTTTTTAAAATTGTCATACCCGCTTATGACTTGAATCTGCTTTTTTTTACCTCCTATTTTGATGAGAGTACTCATTGTATTTAAGGAACTAAAATAATTTCTCAATTTGTATTTACAGGTGGCGGAGTGGTGACGACTCGAGCACACGTGCACTACATAGTCACCGAGTACGGTATTGCGTACCTGTTCGGTAAGAACCTGCGTCAGCGTGCACACGCACTCATCCAGGTGTCGCATCCTGATCACCGCGAGGCTCTGGAAAAGGCTGCGTTCGAAAGACTCAAGTGCATGCCGTCCGCTGACTGAAATCAATCGTTATCGTCGCCAATGCTTCCGTGATTGGGTGTGCTTGAAACGAGAAAAACATTAGTCAATTTTTGTATTGCACCTCCCAAAGACAATATGCAATATTTGAATCCTACGTAGGAAAAGAGAAACACAGCTTTTTTATTACTGTACTGTGCTGCAGTCGCGTGTCCAAAAATTTACTCTGCACTGGAAATTGTGATCTGCAAGCAGTGAGTACCTAAATAAGAAATCTAATTAATTATCGAATGAATTTTTTTTTTTTGCTGGGAGATCTTCATGCGACTCGCAATGTTATGTTATGGGTCATTTTATCTCCAGTCAAAAAGAATGTATGTCGTTCGCGATTCGAATTATTTTCTTGCTTTTTTGAATGTTTGTCTTTTCTGACTTGAAGCTATTTTAACTTTCTCCACATCTACTCTTACTTACCGCATAATTCTTATTTTTACCTTCTTCAAGAACTTCATCGAAGTTTGAACCAAAATGCAGCTTTTCTCACTGCACTGTAAATTGTTGGACACCTGATCAAAGGCAACGTAATTTTTGCACCCTGCTGCTCTTACATTCAACGAAAAATGCAGAAGTATTCTCTTTATTTGATGGTTGTCAACGAGAGTCCCCGCGAAAGTGTTACCGGATTCGCGAGCAATTTCCCGGAGTAAAAGCAAGGAAACCTGATTTCGAATCAAGGGCGTGGGAAAATGGAAATTTATTAATCTCCGTATATAGTTGTTCCGGTACCACTCAGTAAAAAAAAAAAAAAAAAAATACAAATGATGACTAGTGTGTTGAGTTAGTATCCATGCTGGTTTCAACAGATCACATAACGTTTTTGAAACCCCACCAACATCAGAAGTGCATTCTTGTTTTGCTTTATACAGTTGAATCATGGATATTGGGTATCATGCAGAGAAATTTTCTCATTTCGGGAAACCACGCGATAGAAATAGCGGAAATGGAAGAGAGAAAATAATTCTCTTGAGCGTAATCCTTTGGTGAATGCAAACTTCAACGCGAGTCGGAATATGAGTTCTGTCTTATAGGCTCGAGATAGTTACAGAGAGAGATTTTTATGAGTTCTTTGACAAACTGGATGCTAATATTTTTTGTTTTCGTACGCATTCCGTCAATGAGCTCGAGAATCAAAAGATTTATTGTCTTCTGCTGTTGAGATCATGACGAAGAAGAGATACTTTCCCCTCGGGACGAGGTTGAAAGGTTCCACGGCGATAATGTTACCTGAATCTTTACTATCGGCGGATGAAAAAGTTCGGCTGAATTTCTTGCGTTTCTGGTTTCATGCCTATAGTTTTCTCTGCGTTTTTGTGCGGGTGTATTTTTTAATCATTATTTTTTGGAGCAAGAGAGAAGAATTGAGAGTGCTTACGTGTGCCGTATTTTCGCGAATATGAAACTCTTTTTCAACTTGTGGTCACCGTAATGGTCAGGTGTGTCTTAGATGTACAGTAGTGGATTTGATGAGATTCAGACGTCTGAAAATTCGTAATGCATGTGTGCTGAAAAAGCATATTAGGTGACTTCTTTTCGTTGAATAGCGTTTCAAAAGGGACCTGGAGATTTCAATATTAGCTGGGTTGATTTCAATTTGAGTTAAAAATTATTACATTTTAGCTTGTATTGGTGCGAAGCTTCTGTCGTTTTTCATTGGTGCTTGGACCACTTCTTGCAGAGTTTATGGCGGGATGTTTCGAATTATTTACGCTGCATCTTGGATTCAACTGCAAATTTTAAAGTTCTGACTGATAGAAAAGCATCACTAGCGTCTCATGTTCGCGTGAATATGGCTATTTTTGTTGGGTTATGGAAGCGAATACTGTATCAAGATTCAGCATTCAGACGAGAAGTTTAGCAACTGTAGAAGTGGTTATCAAGTTCAGCGATTCCAACAATTGACTGTGACATTCAGAAAATGCACGACATTTGCAAATGTCGGAAACCTAGAGCGAAAGAAATACCGGTTTACTTAGTCTTATTGAGAGAGATCCAAGACACTGTATACTGAATTCTTCACACGCACGTTGGCATTGGGATCTTCCACTGTGAGTTGATCGTTTTTCAGCAGCAAGAGCACGTTAGAAAGCTTATGAAATGTTTTTTTTTTCGGTGCGAATGAAGAAGTGTGATTGGAAATTCGCGATATAGTTGAAAGAAACTTGACGCGGAAAAAAGAAAAAAAGGTGAATCAAAACCCTGGTGACTCTTTATATTCCAGCCGCGCATTATGACTTCTTTTGGATGTTCGAATCGCGGTCTGCCTTCGTTGTTTCTTTGCGAACTACTGCTGTTTGTTTCGCAAAAATATGGTGTGGATGTTGTTATACCGCGTATATGTGCGGTAAGAAAAGATATGATCGGCGGTCGCTGGTAATGGTTGAGTTTGATGAAAAGTACTAAATGCAGTTGAAGGCGTGAAAGGAATTTGACCCACGGTTTTTGTTGTTGTTGTTGTTGTTGATAGAAATGACTTTCGTGTTCTTGAGTGGATGCGTTGGTGATTCATATAAGTATCAGCACCATGTAGTCTTACTGCTGATGCAGCTTCAAAAAAATGTTGCATTTTTTGGCCCTGGAGTGTCAACTTTGGCAGAGTGAAAAACCTTCCCTAAAATGGGATTTAGCCAGGGACAACTTTGTTGCACCTGGCTCAATCCCAGGTTCATTCTGTGGCCTGGATAAAAAGGGCTGTGCATTATGCCCAGGAATATCAGTATTCTCCCAGTCTTTATAGTCAGTCTTTCAGTCAATCTTCTGTGATTCAAACATTTGACAGTTCATTCTTACTCTTGTCTTATTTACTGTGGCCTTGAATCAATCAATCTATCCTGCAGAGTTGCTGTTCCTCCAGTCTTTGTGTAGATACAGTACTTGTTTGTTTCCTGCAGTCTGTTTGGTGATCTTTTGTGATGCTGATGGGAGTCCATGGGACCAGTGATGAGCCTGGGATGCCTGGGCACAAACCTCCTGTGAACAAGAGTTGAGTGTTTGTGCATGGCTCCCACTCTGAGGCCCAAAATCCTTGATTGAGCTAGTTCTTCATTTTTTCAATCAACCCTTTGTCAGTTCATCTGGCCCTGACACCAGCAACATACTTCTCAGAGAGGTTTGTGTAAGGGAAGCTACTATTTTTGACATAAGAATATATAAAGATTGGAAGTTGACATTAGTTATATTTTTCTTCGCACAAGACTGGCTTGTAGAGAAGTTGGCTGGATGTTGCATTTTGAAGTTCATTTGCACCATGATTATAGTCTTGCAAAAAGCATCAAGTTACGTGTATTTATTATTTTTACTTGGGTCACAAAATAACATGTTTGAGTTATTATTAAGGTTCAACTTCAATTCATCATGAGAAGTTTTTGTTGATGAATAAAAAAGGAAAATCAGATTGCGCATGGGAAGGCCATAATCCTGAATTCTGTGATCATAGGCAGTGATGAATATTATTATACTGTATATATGTTATCTTAATGCTTACATGGGTATATATTAAAACTTTTACAATAAAGAAAATAGGAATTTTCTCAAATGTAGGAAAGGAACATTCCTGGGGTAGGCGGAGGGGGGGGGGGTCCTCATCTGATGTCAATGCAGATTTTGGTAAAACTGCAAGATGTATCCACAGCATTTACGGACGTCCCTGATGATGAATGCATTTGATGATGTTCTTTTGATGCGCAGAAGACCAAATGGAAACTCGAGATATGAAAGTTATATCGATCTGAAAGAACGATGCTACAACACCATGACAATGTGGACTCCGGTGTTTGACTTTGAACTGCGATATGCAGTATATATACTTCCTGATGCTATGTAGAGTTTGAAAATAAGGCTTCGTTTTACCTTGAGAGTCATGCTGGCAAGATTATATCTGAAGTGCCAGCGCACTTCGACCTAGCTTTATATACACGCCTATATTGTGGATAAGGGATTCTCAGAGGAGACGTGTGTCACTTGATACCTTGGTTTCGATATAGGTGAAGTCGTGAAGAGTCCCACAACATTTTCGGAAAGGCGTATCTTTGTTGGAAGTGATAATATTATATGTGTGGAGCATTGGGAATAAATTATTCGGGAGCCTTGATCAGATTAAATTGCTGGTGTTCTACTTCATTATCTGATCATCATTTCTTCTCAGTTGAATTTCCGCCGCGTGTAAGGTGTTTCCTCTGCCCCCACAGTTATTGTCAAGAACTTTTCTTCTTAAAATGGCCCACTATATGCCAGTGGTTTTTTTTTTTTTTCAACGCGGAGCATGCTGCGAGAAGGCGCCCATTTACATAGAGATTTTACCGTATTCCGGAAGAGACACTGTATTTTACAAGATACGGTTTACAATATTTCCGAAGTTCAGCGCTCTGCATGTATGGTGACGATTGAACATTTTGAATAGAACGGTAATGCAACAGTAATAACTCGTTTCCTCCAAGATCATTTCTCTGATCTGCAATACTGTACGTCGTGCAGGTATATCATAGCTCAGCACTCAGGCTTAGCACATCATTATTATTGAACGTAACCGAGCTAATATATGAACGTGAAACCACCCCAAGTCTGAGGAACGTGCTTTTTTTAAAGGAAAAATATTCAACACCGAATTGACCACGTGGGAACGATAATACACGTTCCTCTGATGTACAAATTAATATGAGTTCGGGTGTTTAATGTCCCAGCAGTATATAAACTCCATACCATACGTTTTATGCAGACGTTGTTCCTTTTCTCGAAATAAAATACAAAGAGAATGATGTCTCAAACATGCACTCCTCCATATATACAGTATATGTCGGCAGTTCATCGTCATAAATGCTTCCCCCATTACTTCTTCAAGTGCGTAAATTTCAGATTTTTTATTCTACCTGTATGCATGAGGTATAATTGCCTCATGTGAGTGTGATTTCGTCATCATCCTTCACGGTGAGTCGTATCCCAAAAAGTATTTGGTTACCTTATTGATTATTATTGCAACAGCTTCGCAC